TCAGCCTTATGCTTTACAGTAAATAGCACTAAAATACTGGTCAGGTTACTAAATAATTAAGACAGCTTTTGCAATCTAAAGATACATATAAATATTCAGAACTCGAATCATGAATAGTCAATTAAAAAACCCCAAACCATAAGGCAACTGCACAGCTTCTTTTCTCCATCCACATTCTCTGGGAGGGAGGATCAGGCAAAAGGCCTCACAAAATTTGTGACATTCAGCCTCATTATTGCATTTTTCATGCCTCAGGTGCCTCTTAAGCCATGGAACTTAATGTTTCCATACAAAACTTCAAAACATCAAGACACCTGGAATCAAAGAGTCACCATTAAAGATCATCAAGTCCAACCCAGCACTGCAACATTTTAACCCTTAAACCACATCACCCAGCACTAGATCCAGATGCCTTTTAAAAGCCTCCAAGGATGGTGACTCCACCACTTCTCCGGGCATCCTATTCCAATGGCAGGCCACCCCAATAGTGAAATTTTTATTCTAATACCTAATCTGAGTCTGCCCTGAGTTTAAGGCCATTTCCTCTGGTCTTCTCACTGCAGGCACGGCAGAAGAGACCAGTCCCCACCTCACTACAAACTCCTTTCAGGCAGGAGTACTTTAAAAGAACAAAATATTTAACAGCAACAGTTCATAGAATCATAGAATTAACTGGGTTGGAAGAGACCTCCGAGATCATCAAGTCCAACCCTTGATCCAACCCCACTGTGATTACTAGATCATGGCATTCAGTGCCACATCCAGCCTCATCTTAAAAACCTCCAGGGACGGTGAATCCACCACCTCTCTGGGCAGGCCATTCCAATGCCTCTGTAAAGAACTTCTTTCTAATATCCAACCTAAACCTCCCTGGCAGAGCTTCAGCCCGTGCCCTCTTGTCCTGCTGCTGATTGCCTGGGAGAAGAGACCGACCCCCACCTGGCTACAACCTTCTCTCAGGGAGTTGTAGAGAGTGATGAGGTCACTATAGACACGATCCCGACACTAAAACCTCATTTTCCCCACGCCCCCCCATGCAACTTAACTACGGCAGCACAGACGTAACTCGCACAGGCATCAGGGAAAGGCAGAGGAAGAAGAGAGCGGTGCGAGAACGCAAGTATTTCAAACCGACATCCATTCCACGACACACGATGCCCTTTCCAGGGGCAGAAGGATGAGGTTTGCAGAGCCCACACAGGCTCGCAAGCAGCGAGGCCCTAAAACATCCACAACATATGGGGGACAGTGCAGGAAAGCCTGGAGGGAGCACAGGCGAGACCCCACTCAAAGAGAAGACGCAGGCTGGTAACTGGGGGGGCCGCAGCCACCGTCGCGCGGGTTGTTGGTCGGGAATCGCTGGGGAGGCGGGAGGGGAAAAGCGCCGGGGGAAGCAGACGTCGGGGTAGGAAGGCCAGGGGACACCATCCCGCGCGCCATCACCGCCGCCGCCACCGCCACCGCCACCACCGCCGCCGCCGCCCGCTCCCGGCCCCTCCTCGCTCCCTTCACCTTCCGCTCCCCCTGGAGGCCGTACTTGTTCCCGGCCGGCAGCCCCAGCAGCCGCTCCAGCAGCTCCAGCTCCGCCGCCATCTTGGCGCGCGGGACACGCGGGAGCGGGAAAGGAGGGCGGCAACAACCAGCCACGCCATTGGCGGACGGAGCCGCCGCGCCGCTGGAAGAAGCGCCGCGACCATTGGCTCGAAAGGCCAGGCCAGCCAATCAGGCGCCGAGGGAGGCTCGCACCTTGCAGCCCCCTCGGGGGCGGGGGAAGAGCGGTGGCGTCACAGTCGCGCGCCCACACGGTGGGCGGAGCAGGAGCGCGCTAAGCCACGCCCTTCAGGGGCGTGGTCTCATGGAGGGGGCGGGGTCAGCTCTGAGGGGCCCCGGGGGGCGGGGCCGTCCCCTCACCCGCCCCCACCCGCCCGTCCGTGGGCGGAGGCGGGAATGGGAGTGCTCGGTGGTCTGGCTGCGGCGTTTCACAGAATCACGGCATCGGTTAGGTTGGAAAAGACCTCTGAGGTCGTGGAGTCCGACCTACAGCCGAACACCACCTGGTCAGCCAGACCATGGCACTAAGTGCCGCGTCCAGTCTTTCCTCAAAACACCTCCAGGGAGAGCGAATCCCCCACCTCCCTGGTCAGTTCATCCCAATGCCTGTTCAACCCTTTGTATGAAGAAATTCCTCCTAATGTCCAACCTGGACCTCCCCTGGCGCAGCTGAAGACTTTGTCCTCTTGTCTTTTCACTTGTGAGCTGGGAGAAGGGGCCGACCCCCACCTGGCTACACCCTCCTTTCTGGTGATTGTAGAGAGCAATAAGGTCTCCCCTGAGTCTCCTTTTCTCCAGACTAACTCCCCCTCGCCCCCAGCTCCCTCAGCTCCTCCTCTCAGGACATGCACTCCAGACCCCTCACCAGCTCCATTGCCCTTCTCTGGAAACACTCCAGCTTTGTTCCCGAGAGCCCCCGCTCTCGGTGTCCTGGCCTTCCAGGCCCCTCGACCCCATGTCCTACAATGGGCTGCCCTGATGTGCCCCTGGGCGATGCCCTCAGGTTACCCACACAGACCTTTCTCCCTGGGGTTCTCAGGAATCAGGGCTAATGAGATTGCACTGCTTTTATCCATGCATACACCAGCCCTGCCTTCCTCCACTTGCTAAATCGTGAGCTCATCGTCCAAGTGTAGCTAAATTTAGCAGAGAAGCTAAAGTTTTGGGGAGAGCTCCATCACCAGGGGTCTTGTGAAGCCGAGGAAGAACAGACAGAACCAAGCTGCTACCAAAGGGTATCGAAGAGGAGGGATAGAAGTAGGGTTAAGAAAATCATTCTAATCACCATTGTTAATAGCACTAATGAAGTTAAGAGATAAACCCCACAAAATCTCAGATGGCCTTGAAATAGCCTGATTTAACTGCACATTATTGTATTTGAGATTTGATGAAAACATGGTTTAATCACCTTTCCAATGTAAGTTTGCTGCAGATGTCATATTTCTACCTCTGATCATAAATGTTAGGAATTAAAACAATTTTAAATTGGCAGGTCTATTTGTGCAGAGTATCAAAGTACAATTCTTGACAGAAGACTATTAAATACCAAACTAACATTTTTTTTTGCCAGAAAGAATGAGCTAGTCTTGTCCTACTACTGACAATTTTACAATACAAACTCAGGGCTGTCACTGCGTTAGTCATCTCAAATAAGATGATCCTGACAAATGTCCTGTTTCTCCAGTGAAACACTTTATCTTGATACAAGGTGACATTTAGATTTGTACCTTCTGTTGCAGAAAAAGTCTGAAAGTGGACACTGAGCCTTCCTCTGGCGGCAGAGCAAATCTGAGATTGTGACTGAATTTTTAAGCTTCTGGAGGACTTTGTATGATCTTTTATATTAACATCTGCAAAGCACTTTAAAAAAATTGCTCCAGTTGAAAATGGCATTGATCTTTGCAAAGTTTTTTAAATTTTTCAGCTCCTTTCCCTCAGCAATATTTTGAAATGCTAGTGTTCCAGTAGTGTTCCATTTGTGTGATATCAATGAATGATCTAAAATTGTACAGAAATTTTCAGTGGGGAAATTGAAAGAAATATATTGCCAATTTTTTAAGAAGCTAGTTGATTGTTCCATTATTGAGCGGTTTTACTTTTGGTTATAAACCATCTAGCGGAAACATTTACAGATTATTTTATATATTTATAACTTTTAAATGCTTTGGGACCTATAAGGTGCAGCTTACCAGTGTGAAAGACTGGAGTGAAAATTCTATCAGTTAAAATAAAAAGGTTACAATTTCAGTCAGATGAAAGGGTGAAGGATGGGGTTGCTTGCGAGGTTTTTTGCTTTGGGGGTTCTCCCTGTCCCCTTCCCCCCTCCCCTTTATGACTTTATCCCACCTCGAAGTTTGAAAGACCTTGGAAAGGGAGACTTTATAAATTAGGTGGAGGAAATTAACTACTTGTTTTCCCTCGATAGCAGAGTTTAGTAGCGTCTCTCCCTTTCCTTTTCTGTGCAGTTCTCTCCTTTTTCCATTAGGTGGAGCTTTGTGATTAAGGCTGTAGAAGAAACATGCTTCTAAGTGCAAAAGAATTCACCACGGAATGGCTGGGGGAGGAGGTGAACGAAGCCTTCTTTGCTTAGAGGTATCACTGTCCTGTATGCAAGCTCGATACACAAAAATCCGAATCAAGGCCCTCACATACAAGGAAAATAAATTGAAAAATCGATTCTGTCAAATGGAGGCCTGCTCTAATCTGCTGTTATCATAGCCAAGTTCCAAATCTAAAATACCTTAGGTTATAAATTAAATGTCAAATATAATTAATTTGGCACTTGAAACATGAAGTGGATGACTGTCCTTTAGAGAAAGCCTGACAGCTTTACGTATGTCACGTTGATATCTGTTAAAACGAGCTTTACATGCCAGATGATCCTTGTGTGAATCATATTGCTGTTAGCTGTACCAGAATTTTGTCGATGGAATAAGTCTCAGAACAGTTTTCTCCTTAATTGTCTGAAGCTTTTGCAAGACAATATAAATCAATTGTCATCTGCCTCATCTGTGCAGAATAATGGTTTTATCATACATCAAATAAGCAATTTATTTCTTATTCATTACTACAGAAGTTATTGTTGAATATTTACATACAAATCTATATTTTATACAAATGGAAAACGTTTTCTGCCCTGTGCCTCGAACCCTCTGCAGTTACAATTAAATTCTAGTTTTCCTTCCCTCTTCTCAACTTCAGCAACAGCATCCGTATTCCCGCAGTACCCTTCCTCAGGGAGGCCTAGGTTATAATTGTGTGTACCACTCCTGCCTCAGCCCAGTGCCTCAGCACATGGAGACACCCTTCTTCATGCCTTTATCCCCTTACCCCAAACCAGAAGCGAACAGATCTTTCTTCACTTTCTGCATTTTGTGTCCTTGCTTTGCACAGTGAACTACAAGGGTCTTAATACTTACTTATTCACAGGTACCCCTGGGGAAGAGGAGGTGGCAGGTTTGACCAATGAACGCTTTTACACAGTTGTTGAAATAAAAATGTAAGTATACCACATTAATTCCAACTAACAGGGCCAGTAGGACCTTCCTAATCCAAACCTCATAAAAATTCTCCAAGCAAAGGTTTAATATCAGGGTGCTGCAGGAAGGTTTCATGATTAGTTTTTAATGTGTGTAGCAAACTGGCTAAATGTTTGTGGGTCATACTCTTTATACTGCCTGATCTACGGTCTACGTGATCAGGCTATTCATTTGGCTTAAGAGCAAAATAAAAAAAAAACGAAAAAGAGGCTGAGACCTTGCTGCTGTTACCCCTCTCATTGAAATGAGGGGAACATGTGTGGCCAAACTAAGAGATCCAGATTTGTTCCTGGTTTCTGCACTGGCTGAATGAAGCAAAGAGGAAATTGACTTTTTTTTTTTTTTCCCAAGTGCTCTTGGAAAATCGAACACATGAAAAGAATGGTTCTTGTAACAGCCATCTCTCCTTTGCTTCAGCTTGCCTTTTCTTCTGCTCAACCCTGTGCTCTATAACAGAAACACAAGCCCCAGGTCCATGTTAAAATTTAGCCATTCTTGTATGTGTCAGGCAGAAAACAACTCCAAAGCAATATTTTAAAATTAAGAGGCATGACAATTTTTTCTTTTATGTCTCATTTCCACTAGGTTACGCTAAGAAAAGGGCTTCTAGTTAGAAGCCTTTCTGCAGGCAGTGACTCAGAGATGTTACTGTCCCAGCAGCTGATTTCAGCCTAAGTGCATATTGAAGGAAACAGGGAAGGGAAAGTTGCTGTGATAATAATGCTGTGATGGCGCATCACCAGAGGTAGGGCAAGGGAAACTTTTCATACTTCTGAGAAGACTGATCTCATGCACATGTATGTCTTAATTTAGCGATAGAATGCATATATGTACATTCACTGCAGGTGGCGTGACAACAGGATTCATCACTGACCATTATAAAATTGACTTCTTTCTTTTTCACTTCTGTTCCTTGGAAGATAACGGCAAGTCACAGTGCTGTCTGGGCACTACAGTGATTTAAGGGCCAGATCCACAGGCAGGATAGCTGCTTTACTGCACTGCTGCATAAAAGGTAATTAGCCCATGTAGAAGGCAATTAGCTCTGCACTGCCGTGGCTGTTTTTCGAGTGCTCCTTTGCATGTGTTTATTGATAGAAAGCCCAGGTAACTTTATTGTTCAACAAAGAAAGAGTCAACTCTTAGGCACTGATTGCCACAAATTTGATTTCCTGAGACAAGAAAATATGGACCTGCATAGAAAATTTACTGAGAGATCTGTACAGACATAGTCTACTCTCAGGTCCATCCTCATTTCTTAAGTCACATTTACTATCCTTTATTACTCATTTGCCTTCCAAAATAGAAGATGTCATTAAAGAAAAACAACTAGCATTGATGGGTGTGTGGAAATTAAGACTTACAAAAAAATGGCTGATTGGCACAGAAGGGAACAAACTGGTGTCTGACATACCAGCCTGGATGCTAGGGTTTGGTGTGACAGAAGAACACCGGTTTGTTCAGCAGTTGTGCATATGCAGCACAAGCATTTCTGCTCCTGGCAGCTAAATAAATAAAGTAGATAACTGATTTTAAAAGTTGTATACCTAGAATGCTACACCTAGTTTATCATGTGTGAATGTGGTACATTTAGTTGTTGAAAATATAATCCACTTCTTTTACTGCTAAGTAAGTGCTGGGTTTAGTCTGCTGTGCTTTTGAAAACATGATTGTTGTAAGTGAATCGCTGCTGGCAAGAAGCTGTTTTTAGGGGCTTTGCCCTATGTACAAATACAGAGTCCTGGGATGAAAAGGCTAAGCTATTTCAGCATGTGCTATCAGTAACATGCCATGTTAGAACAGACTTGTTCTGTTCTTTGTTCTCCAGCTACGCTGTTCTGAGCTGGAGGTATGTCCTGAACATACACTAGATGGCAGGCGGGTCAGGTGGCTGGAAGCAAGCCTTGCCCATCCATCACACAGCTCTCTCTCCTGCCTCCAAAAGATCAATTGGTCTTCCTCAGGCCTATACAAAAGCACATTTGGCTCGCTGTACTGGATATGAGGATGCAGTCAGTGGACTAGAAGCTGATCTAGCCCTCTGCCCACAGGATGCTTGGCCACGTTGTTTCTGACAGATTTGCTTTTGCCTTTTAGCCGACAAGGAGAAGATGCCTGATCAGTAACAGCTCGATCAGTAGCAGCTGTTGTTGAGAATAAGGCTTGTGTTAGAGAAGTGGATGTGTTAAGGAAGCGCTGTCAGCACCTGAGGCAGGCTCTGATGGCTTGTCTTCAACTGTAGACTCCTGTATTTGCCCTGCAGGAGACGATGGCAGCTTGTCGCAAATTTTTTGTAGCAGAACATCTTTCCAATGCTCTGTGATGCCCCAGGATGAAAGATGCCCTCAACGTTGCCCTTAAAGTGGAGATCTCATTGCAATGCCAGTATGTACAGCCTTGAATACATCAGTGCTTACTGCAGGATCCTCTGGGAGCTGTTGTGACACAAGGTCAAATTCAGCCCTCATGTAAACTGGTGTGGTGCTCCCTTGACCCACAGCTCTGTCAGTGTAACAGAAATGCTGTCAGCTTTCACCTCTCCTGATGTCCTTGAGGAAAGGATGGATTTGAAAGGATATGTCATATCACTATCAGATTATGCTAATGTCATAGGTGAGTCTCACAGGGCTCTGAGAATAAACCACATTTTGAAAATAGTCCTTCCTATAGTTTGTTTTTTTTTTTTTGGTTGGTTTTTCCTATTAATGATAGTTGTAGGAAAGCCATGAGTGGTCATTGATTGCTTTTTCTTTCTCAAACAAAAAGTTTCTTCAGTTTGAGTTGCAATCAGATGCATTTAGGATTCCTGCTGTGGTGTGAGAATTCCTGAACTGGTGCACCTCTTCTTACTTTAATTATCAAGTATTCTTTAGATTTTAAGGACACAGATACTCTACAGTCAGAGTCATTCTAATGGAGTTATTAGCACAAATAAAACAAGTCTATACTAAGGATCTTAGGGAGTTTATCATATCTATTGCAGGGCTAGAGCACTTCCATAGAAGCAAGATGGTTTTTGTTGCCAGTTAATCTAAACCCATCAGCACATCTCTAGACAACAAATGGTGGAAAACATTTTTTCTAGACTTTTCTCTAAACTACTGCTGCTTGTGTCTCTGTATCAGTTGAGAGTTACGGGGAAGCAAATGCTTTAGTTTCAATTGCCTTGCTTACTCAATCAGTTAGTGGAATAGTTTGGACTCTTGAGAAGAGCAATGGGAAAATCTCAATTTGAATAAACCTGCAGTGTTATATCTTTTAGTGTTTAGAGAATGCAGTAGTAAATCAGGAGTAAAAAAAGAGGAATCAGGCTTCAATTGTTTCTAATCTAACCCTTTGACACTTGCTGGAGTATCTGTACATTTTCTCTAATAGGACAGGGATGGTCAAATATTACACACACGCACATTTTTCATCTCTTTGAGTCATTGAGGAACCACTCATTAAAAGGGACCACTCACTAGGAAGTGTTGCAGAACAGGAAAATGAGAAAAAAGCCACAAAGACTTGACAGCATGAATAGGCAGGTGTATTGATAGAGACATGAACGCCGAGAGGGTCCCTTCACTGAGCAGCAGCCAGCCTCAAAGGCAAGCTTAGAAACCCTTCCTCCTGCAAATGTGCTTTGAGACAAGTTGCATAAAGATAACAGGAGAAAACATCAGGTCACAACCAGACAAATGAAAAAATGGAGCTAATGACTCACCATACTTTGAGTTCTTCTTCATCTATGTGCAGTCACAAGGTTTTTCTGCAGGAAAGCCCCTTGAAGCCAGTATTGCCAGTGAAAGTAAATGTTACAGTCCTTCATTTGTTCTTTGCTTCTCTTTATCCAGTCTCTTTCAACTTTTAGTTGCTGGAGACCTACATCTACAAAGTAAACAAACATATTCAAAATATAAAATTGAAATTAAAGCATAAGTTTTATAACTTTTTAATGCATTGTTTTCCATTAGAGCGACTCTTAAAGGTAAAATGTGTTTGGGATATATGTTACAGACCCAGGCCAACACAAACACTGTCTGTGAGAAGCTTTTTTTGAGAGAAGAAATTTAACTTTTGGCAAGTGTGTTTGTTTGACATTAGTGCATTCATCACCCAAAGGAAAATCTGTATTAGCATGGAGATGTCAGATGATAGTTTGCTACTAAAGCACACAATGCTTGACCCAGGATTGGAGCAAGAAATTACACACAAAGCTTATAAATTTAAGAACTTCAGGTTATGTTGCACCATAACCCATGTGTTTGATAATGGATCTAACAGAAGAAAACAGGGTTGCAAATAGAAGATTGTCCTGTCATCCAGCATCTCTGCAAAATGACACATTTTCTCCTTTTCCTAGGTGTTAGAGTGGTTTGTTGTGGTTTTTTTTTTTTTTTTTTTTTAAATTTAGGTTTTTGTAATGAACTCTCCTACTTTTCCCCACTGATCCCTGCAGTGATCTTCAGTCTTGCTTCCTCTTTCCATCCAAAACTTGTCAAATCCATACATGGCAAGACAGACTTTTTTTTTTTTTCCCCCAATTGATTTTTTATTTGCTGCTGTTTTGGAAAGCATTTTGTGGAGGTGAGGAGCAAGGCTCATGTGATGATGATAATTTGAAATGATTACAGCAAGGAAGAATAATGAAAAGGAAAAAGGGTATGATTATAAGCTGCTGGGTGTTGTTCAGCACTTCAGTGACAATGTGAAAAATCTGGTTTAGAATTATTTGAGCCCATAATCTGGGGAACTGTAATTGGGTTTTACTTCACAGAAGCTCACAGAGGTTCAGACAATGGTTTATAAAATTTACACAGAGATCAAAGTGGTTTGAAATTCACACTGATTTTCTTTTTCTTTTTCTTTTTTTTTTTTTTTTTTTTTTCTGTAGGGAAAAATGAATAAACCCTCAAAACACTTTCATTCAAGGCCATTTCCTGCCAGCAAGGGAAATTTAATCCACTCAAGCCACCAAATCATTGAGTACATTTATTCATTAAAGTAATCAATCAGTGGAAATAGGTTTTTCTTTTTATATATTAAATGGCAAAAATGATGAGTTCATAAAAATGTCAAGAAATTTTCATCTCTGCTATCTCTTTTCTTAGGTCAGCTGTCTTCAAATGTATTATCCCATTTGTGGGAATCTTACTTATTCTGTCTTTCTTGTAGAAAGCCGTGCATTGAGTATTACACAGAGATTAAAATTGAGTAGAAACTGTAGAAAATGTCAAACATAGCAGAAATCATGACACTTGCTCTTTCGACTAGTCACAAAAGCATCAACAGTTGTTAATTTTTGAAGCTAGTATTCTGGCAATGTTACATTAATACATCAGTCACAGCAACTTCTTGTTTACATTTTTGCTAGCATCTACAAGTTTGTCAAGATCTATCATCTCTTTCCCTTATGCAGTTGGCTTCTTTTATTTTGACAAATGGATCCTTGCCAAGAAGTTATGTATGTGCCTTGCAATCATTATTTGGAATCAGGAGACAGCATTAGGATCATCATTTTTCTCTACCATTTGTAATGCAGTTTGCTCCTCTGAGGTCTTTTAGTGGAAAAGACTTGGTGAAGAAAAACATTAGCTACCCATTTGCCACAGGAAATAAAATTACATGCATTGTTTGTCTGACGTACTCTAGACCTAGAAATTAAGCTCATTTTAGTTTGGGAAAGATGAAGTGCCTCCCAGGTTCGTCTGTGACCTCTTAGTAATTTAGGAAAGGAGGAATATAAAGGGACCAACTGTGTCATGAAATTCAGTGTCTTACATCTGCAGACAGTCCTCTAATATAGACTAACCCAAATTTTTAATACACCTTTTGAGACCTTTGAGTGAAAGACCTCACAGTTGTTATAACAATTCTAAACCTCTAAACATGTGGCCACAGGTAAGGAAGAGATGAAATAAAAAGACATCATAGTTTGAGTGAAGCAGCAATTTCTTAGGTGATGTTTCCAGATGTTTCCAGGAAGCTATGGGACCATGGGCATGCCCCGGTCTCCAGAGGAGGAAGGATATTCCCAGCTAATTTCCTGAAGTAAAATTCTGTCCTGAAACGTGTTAT